TTGGGGGAGGGGGCGGGGGTGGCGAGTTAAAAAGCCGAAAGACAAGTAACTAGTGAATGAGTGAGGGAAGGGGGGGAGCGCACGATTTCCGGCCCCGGGCGCGCAAGAATTTGTAATGAGCTTGATTAGAGTGAGGCGGCCCGACATTTATTACACACAATACCCAGAATAACAGGGCGCTGCGCGAGGGCTAGCGCCGGCCGCCGCCAAACGCGCCAGGGAGGGCGCGGAGGGGAGGAGGCGAGGGGGCTTCCCTGGCAGCGGCCGCCGGCGCGGGCGGGGAGCGCGCGGCGCGCGGGCGGCAGGGGCAGGTGTGCGAGTGGGAGCCGGGCGGGAGGAGGGGAAGAAAGGGATGGGGAGGAGGCGGCGAGGGCCAGGGGAGAAAACTAACCAACCACCCACACGCCACAAAAACCACAAAAAGGAATACGCTGGGAGCGTCGCAGGCGGGCACCCGAGGGACAGGGGAGGCAGAGGAGGGGGCAGGAGAGGACACCAGCCCCACGGGAGAGGGGCCCAGGCATGCAGGTGACAGCCTCCAGGGCCGAGGTAGGGAGACTTCAGGAAGTGGCTAACGGGTAGTCGGAAGGTAGATCTCTCCCGAGAAGCGCGGAAGCTGCAGAAACATGTGTACAGCAAGAAAGGCCAGGAGCCTTGAAACTCTCTCCCTAATATTTATCCTCAAAGAAGAACGGTCCGTGAACTGCTAAGTGCCAACATTAAAAAACTTGAGTAAGAGCTTTCTGGTACTTATCAGACTTTGGTTCAAAATGCCTTCACTTCTGAGCCTCTATGGAGGAAGAAATTCGTGGCCGAGTTAAACAAAATGTGGGTCACTTGAAAAGAGACCTGACTTGTTATAAAGGAAAAGATGCCATCATTCTTGATTTACACTGGGCAAAAAGAGAAAAGTTTGGATTGGTAAACTCATCTGTTGTAGCTATAAATACTTTCGCTGTAAACTGTGGTAAATTACCCAGTTAGATAAATGGTCATTAGCACATGAGTATGATCCTCTTATTTAGATAATCTATTAAATATCGTTCACATAAAAATAAATAACATTACAATCTCGCACAAAATAGAAATGCATCGTTTATCGCTGAGGTTTTAGTATGAACATTTTGGCACACTGAAGGCCGTTAATCATTAACAAAAAATGTTATAAGAATTATTTTTTCAGAATACACTGGTAGGGAAAAGAGAAAAATCAGTCAGGTAAACATTTTGTTACAGATTTAAAAAGCAACAAGTTCACACAAGTTAGTGAGATAAGAAGGAAATTTGCAAATTAAGCTCTATAAGGTTACCAGGACGCTCTTAGACACACTGTTGACATTAAAAATCTAAGAAAAGCAAAAGTAAAGCAGAAGATAGATTATAGGAAATGATGGCCTCCTGGGGGAGGACAAGTTTGGGAGAAACACAATGAACATACACCACTCTAACAGTACCCAAGTTTCACCCACAAACCAGAAAGGTTAGTCAAAATTTGAGGAAGACAACCTTGAATGTTGGCACAGAAATCCAAGCCTTGAGCAACAGAAACGTGATGATTAAACACAAAACACAGCATCAAAAGGAAGAAATGGCATTTAAGGCAATCTTTAGTAAAAATATCAAGTGATACTACATTTTTAAAAACTGAAATGTGAGGAAATACGGAGAGAGCAATTTTAACTAAAGTATGAGAAATATAATTGATAAGAAAATATGCAAATATGGCTAAATGGAGCATTTGTGCCAGTTCTGTGGATGGAGGCACTTATATTTATTTAAAAAGGTATTTGGCATTTAAAAGAAAAAACCATAACTATCTCAATGACAATGAGTTTTGTAATATAATTGGTGACATTAAATTTCCAATATGGATAGTCTATTAATTGATTCAAACTGGTGATATCTGACATGTTTCCCTGAAACCTGCCTTGTTTTCAGTAAGGACAATGCACTACAGTCTCATGTTGTGCAATTTTGCTAAAAACAGCAAAATTTAAGAACAAAAATTATAGTGGACCACACACAAAAAATGTCACTTGCCCATGCAACTTCCCCTCAAGTCGAATGTTTAAAAAGAAAAAAAAAATTATACAAATGAAATTTGAGTTAAGAGAAAAGAACACTGAACAAAGATTATTAAAAGTATCAATATTAAGAAGTACTGGGATAAAATTTGTGATTATCCTATCACTTTACACAAACAGGACAAAATACATACTGACTACTTCAGCTTTCTAAAGACCAGGTAAATGCTGATGTAACATGGAAGTAATATAGTAATGTTTAAATCTGAATACTACCTTTTATCCAGGAATCATAAACCTATTCATAAACGCAAAACATGAAACTATGTAATAAGAACTGACATGGCCTTGGAAAGTGATAAACAGGATGAATAACAGTAAAAGCATCTAATAATGGCTTTAACTTAAAGAATATCAATATAGGACAATCATGAATGGAGTAAGCACATATACATGTTAATTTTCCCTCAAGCATATTTTTTCCAGAACTATATGATTATAAGAAATGATACAAGTAAAGTGGCACACAGAGGCTTATGCCCCCGTGGCATACGACACTGATAAACTTAATTACTACTACCTATATAATATGTATCCCTTTAGGATATTCATTATCGCCACTGAGTATTGGCCATGTAAACCCAAATTCAAAATAAAGACAGTAATAACAAAAATAATTGTCTTGGTCTGTTTTCTGTTTATAAAAGAATACCTCAAACTGGATAATTTATAAAGAAAAACTGTTTATTTCTTACAGTTATGAAGGCTGGGGTGTCCAAGGTTGAGGGGACTTCTCTGGTGAGGGCCTTCTTGTAGGTGGGAACTCTCTGCAGAATCCCAAGATGGCACAGGGCATCACATGGCCAGGGGCCTGAGTGCACTAGCTCAGGTCTCTCTTCCTTTCCTTATAAAGCCACCAGTCCCACTCCCATGATAACCCATTAATCCATTAACCGATTAATCCATTAATCCATGAATGGAGTAATCCATTCACGAGGGCAGAGCTCTCATGACCCAAGCACCTCTTAAAGGCCCCACCTCTCAATATTGCTACATTGGAGATTAAATTTCAGCAAAAGTTTTGGAGGGGACAAATATTCAAGGAATAGCAATAATTAAGAAAATATCACCTTCCTAGGCATATCTGACCATAAACCATCCTGGTGAGAGAACAAGACATCAACTGATTCTACATAAGCATCTGGTATTTAGCAATAAAGATATAAGTTTTGAAAAAAGTTAAAACAAACTTTATAAACTTTGCCATCAAAATTGAAAATCTCAAGAAGATAAAATATGGCAACTCAAATACACGAACTGTTTAACATGTGGACATACATTTAAAACAGAGTGCATCAATTTTCTATCCTGTGAAAAGGCATCATACTGCTGTACACAAGATTTTTAAAAACTTAATGAATGGACTACTGCATGTTTCAGATGGCAACATATTAAGATAAATATGCAGACAGATACCCAAAAGCATTAAAACACATTCAGAGTTCTGAATAGCACATACATTTGTAATAAACAGAGAAAGCATTTAGAATTCGAATGCTTTTAAGATATGGCAGCTCCGTCAGTGACTATGTTAGCAAAAGCAATACTTACCACCATAACACTTTCTAAGGACATGGGTTTTTTTTTTTTCATCTTTTTTTAATTCAAATACAGTTGGCTATCTTTCTACTCTGATAAAGCAGCACAATTTATGTAACATATTGCTCTTTTTGTCATGTCAACTCTTTGTTTTTTGGCTTTAGTTGCAGGTGGTGTTTTCCATATATGAATTTCTGGGAATAGGGTCTGTGTTGGCCATAAAAGATGTCTATATTCAAGCCATATGTTTTGCTGTCATGTGTCTGATTTTGTCTGTCTTGGATGTCAGGACTGATTTCTGATCGCTTCTTGAATGGACCAAATACCAATTTGTAAAAAGCAGGGAGGAAAAACTAGGGCTCAGCCCAAACAACTTTGTCAAACTCTGTATCAGAAAGGAAATGCAATATCCTGTAAACATTTGCACCCTGCTTCTCACATATTATCTGTGACCGACATCATCACAACTGCATGCAGTTTAGGAAAGAATCTACTTGCTTAAGTTCAGAAGTCTGCAGTGTATGTGTGTGCATGCAGCTTAATCAGATTAAGATCCCACGTCTTAAACAGATCCCGCGTCTTTGGAGGTCATGGCATGGCACATGCTAGCTGCTCTACTCTGAGAGACATGGGTCCTGCAGGCAACCTGACCCAGCCCTGAACTTGGGGAAGAGAAGCTACCTCATGCTTTTCTTGTTAAGTTAATAATCAGAACCTTGATTAAACACTATAACTAATTATACAAGAAGTTCTGGCCCCATTATAAACTTTCATAGCATCTTGTATTTCTCCTTTGGAACAGTCATCACAGTCTTAATCAATCAACAATTCAGATAATTATTGGTTTAAAAACCGTCTCCCTAAGTAGACTGTGAGCCCTTTGAAAGCAGTGACTCTG